AAAAAAAAAAAAAAAAAAATCAATCAAAACTTAAATTTAACTCAACTTTAACCAACCTCACTATCTCAAATATTATTGATATAATTAAATAATACCAACCAATCATTTAACCAATCATTCTTATACATCACATCAACTTTAATTCACTATTCATCAACTCACAAAATTTTAACTAACTATCACTCCCAATCATTTTTCTCTTACTTTTCATCATATCAATTTTAATTATTTTATTTTAAATATTATTTTAATATATCCACTACCAACTAACCATACTAACTTTTTTTTAAACTTAACTATAGTTAAAAAAATACTAATTAAAAACTAGTCAAATTCATAAACAATCACCCCCTAACAACTTTACATTCAAACTAACTCTCTCTTTATTAGAGGTATTATATGTATTAAATATTCCATATATTCGAAGAAATATTAATTTTGATATTCAAAATAAACATATTATGAAGGGGACAATGTAACATATAATGATTACAAAAATAAAGGTGTAAGAAACTGGGAAAAAACAAGTGCGGTCCCACGTAAATGAAACGCATCAAGACAGGGAAAGTCCAGATGAAGTCAAGTGAGGTTCAATTCCAAAACCAATTAGTGAAAGGAGGAGAAGTCCACTAGACTTATAAATTAGACATATTTTTCTTATATAAACGATGTGAGACAACTCGTAAGTGATATTCTAACAAAAAGTATTACAAATCAACTTGTTTATTGGAATCACAAGTATATATTCTAGTTGTCTACTTGTGGTATAAATTAAACTAGTTATATATCAACCTTATTAAAAGATTCATGTAAAAAGGCCTTATTCTTCCACACCCACTATAGTGTAAATGCAGAAAATGGCACATCATAACAAAAAAAAATGTTTCCAATTGAGGTTGGTTAGTTGCAATAAATTCCAAAGACCCATATAAGTCAATCTATAGTCTGGTCTTGCTTTGGAAGAAGTATTTAGTGGGCACAAATACTGTTGGCCAATGTAACTGTCAGACGGGTTAGACGGGTCAACTTCTAGGATTTAAAAAAAAAAACCTATATATATTATATTGCTACATTCCATACTTATTATTTATAATGTTATTTAAAACATGGTATTTTGATTTTATTATAAAAAAACATTGTAGGCTAACGTTTAGATATGTTTAACTTACCGCCCTAAAAACAATGTCATATTCTAACGAAGAATTATATATCACTACAAGAAAGTACTTCAATTACGCAAAAAAATCCAACGACAAAAATTTTCATTGGAAATTTCAATGAATATTCCAACAAACTTAATTTTATGTTGGAATAAGTGTTGGATGGTTGAGGAATTCCAACGGATTTTTTTCGTTGGAATAGTTGTAAGAATTTATTTTCGTAGGATTTTCCGTTGAATTTTAGCTATTCCAACGACCGTTTTTCCTACGAATTTTTATACGTAGGAATATCCGTTGGAATAGCTATTCCAACGGAAAATATAAGAATTCCAACGGAAATTTTCTGTTGGAATGTAAGAGTTTTTGTAGTAGTGTATTCAACAATATATTTCAAATTGGTTGCAGGCGCTTTATTGTCGTCTTATCACCGGATATTCCTATCGTATAGTATCGCCGTTAGAATGATTCCAACAAGAATTCCAACGAGATTATTACGTTGGAGTGAGTTATCTATTGAAATTTTAGATGGTATTTGATGATTGCAATAACTAGTTTCGCCATTATTATGTTTGATGATTGCAATAACTAGTTTCGCCATTATTATGTTTGATGATTATTATGTTTGCAATTTCTGTTAAAATTTATATTTCCACTCATACTAAAAACGTTGACAAATAGACTATTAGAATCGTCAAAATCAAGCAGAAATTGCAACGGAAAACTCATTCGAACGGAATATTTCGTTGGAATATATTGAAAAATTTCAACGAAAATAATAGCATTGGAATATACATTCAAATATATTGCATACATTTCTGTTAAAATTTCGTCATTTTCTTGTAGTACCATTTTGCTTGTTGGATTTAAAAAAAAATGAGACAAAAAGCTAGCGTTGAATTATTCTAATGATGCGTAGTTTATCTACCTTTTTTTTTTGTAGCCAGCCACGGTATCCGGAGCTATGCCCTGACTAATCCGTTGGTCGACCCGGGTCGCACACCTGGCAGTGGTGGGTGAGTCTCCCAACAAGGGTTTTCTGCATCCACAAGGACTCGAACTCGAGACCTTGCTTAAGCGACATCAAGCTGCTTACCACTTGAGCCAACCTCTGTTTATCTACCTTTGTGAAGCCATTTGCTTGGACTCTTTGAATGAGAACAATCAAAATCGTATCTGCCAAAAACAACGTTGAAAGACAAAGGCGCCACCCGGATTCAGACATTTGGAAAATTGTTTCTTAATTAGTCTTTCATGATTTCATTTTAATTTGTAGTTCATGAATGAATCATTCACCTACCAATCGTGAGTACATTAAAATGTGTTCATCATTCAGCTACATGTTAAGATCTCGTGATCTTTCAATTATATAGGAATCGTGTATGATATATTAATCTCCATGCACATTTCTTTCCTAATTATAACGTCAACTCAATTAGCAGTCATATTAATATACGATCAACCATGAGTAATAGAGAGTGAATGATTGATTAACCACAATAAGCTAATAAATCAAAAACCACCACAATATATTAGGGTTCTCATGCTCTTTCCAGAATCCACAAAGCACCCACAGTATATGCCTCCACTGAACCTCCTAAAAGGCCCCTAGAAGAATCCCACAACTGCAGATTATCATCCGCCTTAAAAGATCTATCTCCCAAGCCTAACCTCCCATTGATTATAAAACAACTAACATCTAATGAGACTTGCTCACCCCCTCATCCTTAATGATCGTGATTCCCTTGTTCCCCTTACAACAACTAGACTCCCTCATCCTCTCCTTTCCCTCGGAATCTCTTACAGTTAAACTCCTACCCTCCCCCACTCTCACCTCATTGAATAGCATCCAATCATCTTTGGCTTTTTAGACAACCCTCTCTTCTTTCACCCAAAAATCCAGTGGTTTCTCTAGTTTTCCACGACCACCAAAGGAGGTATGTGGAAAGACTGATCTATATATGTCATGGTTTGGTGATCTATTAGCATTGCAAACCGTCCCCACCACTCCCCAAACCCACACTCCATATTTTCCGAACAATCCCAAGAAACCCCTAACAACTTCTAACATAGCTTAGCTCTATGACAATGAAAAAGAATATGCTTTAAATCTTCTCCTCCTCCCCACATATTTCACACCTAACCTCACACTCAATACCCTTATTCCTCAATTGGACTCTAGAGCTAATATACTCAAATGTTTTGATCTTATTCTGAGTAGGGAGTTTCCAAGTTACCTTCCACATGTTCAAGATTTGTTTGTGATTACTACAACCACCCCTACTGAGTTTCACCCAATATCGTAAAAGCTGAAATTTAGATTTTGAATAACATTTAGAAGTTTCATCAATTTTGGCTGTTTCATTCACCATCAATAAAAGCTGTAATTTATATTCTGTTAACTATGTTCGGAAAACCTATCTTACAACTTATTTAGTTAACTTATAAATTTTTTCTATTCAAAATACAGCTTGTTTGATTAATGTACTTAAAAAAAAATAATAATAATAATAAAAATAAAAATCAGATCCTTTAATTCGTTCGGGTGCTCAAACTCAAACCCTTTGTCCGAACAGAAATAAAAAGAACTGCAGAAGATAATTAACATAATCACGATTGAGACAAATAACACTCACGTGATTGATTACACGCTCAGCACTTCTTTTGTGTCTGAAACCACAACGCCCTCCCTGTACTAAAAAAAAAGCGTCCTTTCCACAAAAGCAAACGGGACTTGAAAAGTCAACTCTTCATCTTTGACCGTCAACTCAGCAGTTAAAGTTAATCACATTCACATTACACGTTACAAACTTACGACACACAGACTACCCGTGTCCATTCTAAAGTCACAATTCACAAAAACAAAAACACGGGAAAAGAAAGACCTTCAAAGTTCAAACACACACCAAACATTCAAGATTTCTTCTCCCCTTCGTGTGAATTTACATCGATACCCCTACGGCAATACGGGCAGTCCCCACAAGTCCGTACCCAGGGCTCCAAGCAACGAAAATGGTACCTGTGCCCGCACGGCAAACGAGCCAGCTTATCTCCCTGGGAAAAACTCTCGAGGCATATACTGCATTCCACAATATTCCTTGGGAGGCCCAGTTCGGAGCTTTTTTCATGGGCAGTAGAGAATATCTCAATACATAAACGATTTAGTGCCATTTGAGTGAGGCCCGGAGGCCGTTTGGTCTTTGGGTGACCAGCGGAATCGGGTAAAGAGGCGAATGTGGAAAGCCATTCTCGAGATATTTCCGTTTCCCATTCGGCAGAGTCGACGAGACTGAAATCGTCTCGTATTGGATTGGAATTGGGGCGGCTGCTAGTAACGGATGAGTTTCTGTTATTCCGCCTGTAATGTATATATATAATGACCTGATTTAGATAGTTATTGCACGAAATCTTGTTTGCTAAAGATAAATATATTTAGGAGGACTCCTGTAACATCTTAAGACTGCTTAAAAACCTCAGGATTTTGTAAATTTAAATTCTTAAATGAATACCTCGGCTTAAAAAGTATATAAATTAAATACACCAAGATCTCTAAAGTCTTTAGAAATCTCAAACGCATACCACCCCCCCTAAGTGATTTCTTAGCAAAACTAGAATGAACTCTATGATATGCTTAGCAAAGCCAATACACTAAATTTCACTTATGACTTATACAACTGTTTTTACAGGTGAGGGGTACGAAGGCATAGAGTTTTATGAGATGAACTAACCTGGCACTAGAGAGAGTCACACCTCTTAACCTTTGCAATAGCCTTTCTCTAGCAAGAAGCACAGCTCCAGGAAGCCTGTCATTAGCACTGACCCTTAGCCTATCTTGGACATTAATGTGACTCCCTGAATAGTTTACATTTCCAGAGGAAAATTGATGACTGTTTTCAAGTCGAATCGACTCACGTTCCTGAAAATGTCAAACGAATGGAGATCAGCGCAAGCCCAAAGTAGTGGCTCAAAAGGACTTTCGAGCAATAAGAGAAGAAATTTTTTAACTATATATTGAATGTGGATACACATCTTGCAAAGATGAATGCGAACTCCAAATAATTGATCAAAGTTAATTAAGAGAGAGTACAATAATGAACGCAAACTTGAATGTTCGATATAAATAGCAACTCGCGGGATTTGTCTAGCAAGCTAAATTGTCAAATCACCTGAGCCACCTTAGTGGTATGGTTTTCACAAAGAAGTATCTTCCATTGCACAATTAACTAACAACAAATTATGCAATACATAAAACCAGAAACTTCAAACTTATGAATCAAAGCACATCAATTTGACAGTAAAAAGGCATGTGGATGTTGGGCGATGCAAGGGAAACTCGGATGATAGACGAACGTCAAGCTACATAACAACATTTTGACAGATCTGAAATTACTTATTTTCTGGCCTCGACATCAGCTTTCAACAGAAAATAACAAGAGTGAATACAGCATAAAAGAACAATTCCTAATCACTAGTTCATGCAACTCAGGCAAAACCACAACAACACTAACAAAATGTCCTCAGGGATTTGAATTTCAAAGAACGGTAAAGGTAACAAACACACAGGAACAAAAAGTTGTTCCAGTGTGACATACACCAGAACTAATACACTACAAAAGTCATTACTCCCTCTGTTTCAGAAAACATGTCATTATAGTTTATAGATGCAGAATTCTGAATTTAACTGGTTGGCTAATTTACCTTCATATCAGATCTCCCCTAATCTAGTGTTTAGAGAAGTTCAATTGGCTAAAAAAGATAAACCGACCCACAACGACATGTAACGAAAAACGGAGGAAGTAACTAGTGTACACCCAAAAAATACCCAAGGAGCTAGAGGGTTTATTATACTTGAGAAAGTGATTTGAACAAAATTAGGATGACTAAAGCTTCTGCTATACCATAAGCCATTTATGGTGGGGTACAAAGACTTATCTCTACCTTTCTTCCACAAAGGGTGACTAGAATCCTGCTCCACACACTGCAAATTGGTACTCACCCTTTTATAGAACCGAAAACTTCACACGAACACAGAGAACAAAATTACCAGCTCGAATGAAGCACACACCAATTGAATTAGGTTTACCACGAATTCAATTGCAAAACTGCAATTATCACGAAATAGAAAGGAAGGGGCTCTCACTTGAGGCGGATGAGGAGGACGGTGTAGCGGCGGTTGCCTGGGGTGATGATGCGCGCGCCGCAGCGGATCGCAACCCTCCGGATCGATCCGGTCTCGGCGAGCGTGGCTGCCTCCGGGACCGTTGAGGTGGCGGTGGCGGCGATTGGTCCGGTCGATATGCGGTTGGGAGCCGATATCCGACCCGTCGTCAAACGGATCCGAACTCCGTCCGAATCGAGATCTCCGATTGTAGAATAGCTCCGATGCGCTCGTCATGCAAGTCTCTAGCTCCGATTGTAGAATAGCTCCGATTGCCCGGCGCCTTGTAGATAGATACCTTCGAGGAAGTGCGGAGAGTAGGAAGATAAAGGGGAG